TCTGTCACTTATTTTCTGCACTTAGGAGGGGTAGAAGTGCTTACCCCCAAGAGGTGGGGGGTAGGGCAGAAGGTTTAAAAGGCAGGCAGTTAGAAGGAACGAAGTAAAAAGTATCCTGGATAATCCCTACACTGACCAGTTAGTCTCTTAGTAAATCAAGAGAAGGTTTTGCATTAAGGAATTAGAAGTGTCATTTCCAACTTGTGATTTCTGCAAATATTGGATTCTTTCCAAGCTGGATTTATAAGCAGATAAAACCGGAATTAAATGGAGGCCTGGGAGAACATCACCTATTCTGAATCACTTCCAAATTTCAGTAGCTTAATAAAAGGTTGGTTAAGACACAGCAGTTTTTTAACCTTTGTGCGTTGGTAAGATACTAAGCAGAAAAACTCAGAATTACGCTAGAAGGACAAAACAGCCTATTAACAGAAGAGAAGAAAAGAGTGTATTTACATGCAAAGTTAAACATCAGATTTTCAGAAATGCTCTGGAACTTAAAAAATGTAGTACACAAGATGTATTTTAAAACGTTCTCATTTAAGTGTAGGTAAATATGTTCCATGTGACGTATCATCTGCATTTTTGAAAGAATACCAATGGGAAATAGGCTATCATTAACAGTACTCAAAAAGCCAAATAGCTCCACATCGCTGCATTAAATTTTAATTTAACCCTATAGCATTTAAGAGAAGTCGTTTGGGTTTTTCACCAACCTCAGTTACCAGAAACAAACCACACGGTTTGTGATAAACAGTTCAGTTTCATGGAAGAAGCCAAATCTAATCTTAAAGAAAATGAGAGGTTATAGACGGAGAAGCTGAGGCTTTACTATGCAAAAGGCTAGGCAGGAAACATTTGTCATACTATGCCCCCTACCATCCAAAACCAGAAACACCAGTTATGTATCTGGGAGACTTACTGCATCTTAAGGAGTTTTATCAAGAAGTTTTCAGAGATCCCTGGTTAAAATGTGACTAGGCACATAAACAGGAGGAAGACAGAAAATTAAGTCACTGCATACCAAGCTAAAGAAATCCCAAAAACCATAATAAAGTTATGATTTGTCTATCTACCTTTCAGTAATTCAACCTGAAATGTGGCTTACAACTATTCAAATAAATGAAGCAAATCTACCCGGTGTACCACACAGATAAATCCTAAGTAGTTCCAAGACTAGTACAGGCAGTGGGAGTTAACAGTAGCTAATAATGACCATGCTCTTTTTTTCTTTTAAGATTTTATTTATTTGAGAGAGAACAATCAAGGGGAGGAGAGGAAGAGGGAGAGGGAGAAGCAGACTCCCTGCTGAGCAGGGAGCCCAATGTGGAACTCCATCCCAGGACCCCGGGACCATGACCTAAGCCAAAGACAGACGCTTAACCAACTGAGTCACCCAGGCGTCCCATGACCATACTTTTGAATGATAGGATAGGATGAAGGAGCCACTGAGTTACGGCTGTAACTATGTGGTCATAGCCAAGATGTGAGTTTTCAAGCAGCTTTTCCAAAGGCTGACATGTGCCTCCTTTCTATACAATTTTCATTCTCTACTGTGTTTGTGCCTCATTAAAAATTAATGCTACCAGACCCTATTAATTATTACCAAATACATTTTTTAAAGATTTATTTGACAGAGATCACAAATAGGCAGAGAGGCCGGCAGAGAGAGAGAGAGGAGGAAGCAGGCTCCCTGCTGAGCAGAGAGCCTGAAGCCCGGCTTGATCCCAGGACCCTGGGATCATGACCTGAGCTGAAGGCAGAGGCTTAACCCACTGAACCACCCAGGCGCCCCTCAAATACATTTTTATCTTAGGATTTTGTTTTCTAAAGAAGGGGAAGAAAGAATATACGTGTTGTTGTTTAAGTTGGTCTTCCCCATACCAGATTTGCCCAAAATTAGGGAAGGTTGATGTTCTGCTCTCTCAATCCTCTGGCTCTATTTTGAAATAGAACATACAGTTAAATGATATATTTGCTCTCTATTCCAAACTGGATGCAATTGATTTTAACTGACTAAATGATCTAATCTCTGCCAAGAATTTTATTTCATTAAGAAAATGATATTATAGAGCATCTGAGATCATAGAGCAGACTAAACATAATGCCAAAGGAGTTCTGAGAATGTTCCACAGTGAAGGTTTGATTATTTGCAGATGGAATATAGAAGAAAAAAAAAAATCAGCTCACAGGCATCAGCCTAACCAATCCTGGTATCACTGCTGCCTACACAGTAGCACAAAGCCAAGGAAATAACTGATCTTCGAAGCCACAACACTCTTTTTTTTAAGGTCCTAATCACTTTTCTCCCTAGAAAGTAATATTTAACTGCCACTATCCAAAACAAAGGGAAAGGGGGAAATGTTGGTACCACAATAGGCTCTAGTATGTCAACGGTCACTGCTGACATGATTTGGCTAGTGGTCAAGCATTCACCAAGGAACTAATTTAAATCAATCTCCTTTGGGAAAGTCAATTGTTTGATTCTACACCAATTGTTGCGCATACCAATCAGTGGACAAGAGATCAATTAAAACCAGCTTAAGTTTGTGAAGAGGGACAATTCACACAACCTGAGTTAGATCTCTATTCATTTCAATACTCTCACAATGCAAGCCTTAAGCTTCCTTGCAAAGCAGAAAAGCTACTATCACCCTCTGCTGTCTAGCCAGGCCTTCAAGGAGTTCCACTTTTAATTAAAAACACAGTACACCCTTTGTTGGCACAGATAGTGTGGTCACTTTTAAAAACCATAGTTATTTTAGCCAGAAACGTGGAATTTGGGAAGGGATGTCCATTAAAGGGGGGGGGGGATGCAAACTTTTGATAAATTTTTTTTCTTTACACCATTTCTTTACCAATTTACATAGAGCGAAAGTAGTTGAATTTTATTACATCAAAACGTTGGTTTGGCAAAAGTGACTACTGCACACTTTAGAACTGGGTTTCTAAGTGTCAGCACTTGGGGCTGTGAAGGGTAATTGCTAGGAGATTTTGCCAAAGCAGCTTTGAAATGAATAGGTTTTGGGTCAGATACCTAAGAAGGCCCAGGGCCAACTTTGGAGATGGCACTGCCGGGAAGGGCCTGCAATACCGCTTCTGGCCGCAGGGGTGCTGTCATGTCCTCTACGACACAGCTCCGCGGTGCGAAGTTCTCGGGCCACACTAGGTTAGTTAGATTCCTCCTCGATCCGCCACAACGGGACAGGCAATGGGGATCAGAAAGACCTCACGGAATTGGTCTGTCATAATAAAGAACCAGCTGACAAGGCGTCTTGGGAATTTCTCTATTTGCACGAACTTTAAGCATCTCCGTTTTTCCCCAACCAAGTAGACAGCACCTTGTGCTGGTAAGAGGTGATAAGGCCTTGCCTTTCCAAACACTTTCGACTACAGTGTAACCAAAATTTGCCAGATCTGCGAGTAATACCTCAAAAGAAAATACCAGGCGGAGAAAGGAGCCAGCGGGGAGGAGGAGTGGAGGAGATGATGGAAAGGGACCTTTTCAGGACGACCATTAGCATTAAACTTTCGTGGCCTCTGGAAAGAAATTTCTCTGTAGCGTTTTTCTGCGAAACGATTTCTGAAAATAAGAATTTTCCGAATGCCAGGAATGAGAAAAAGAGAAAGGACGGACTGTTTTCTTTAAAAAAACAGATCCGTAGCGTCAATTGGAGAGCAGAGGTTACGGAAGTCGCACACCACTAGTCATCCGAGCTCGGCCCTCCGGGTAGTGGCAACAGCTTAAGGACGTCCTAAAAGGCGGTGAAAAGTTAGGGCGAGGAGAGCGTTCTCCAAAATCTGGGTACAGGACCAGAGATTCCATAAAATGAGTTCTAAACATACCCTATCACAGATCGAGCGCGACATTTATATGGGGGCGGGGGGGGGGGCAAGTTCTGTTAACTTCCAGACAAATTCTACCGGTGCAGAAGTCCAAATTGCTAGACGAAGACCGTTCTAAGGGGCTGTTGGGCACCTTGCATGCTCCCAGTAATGCAAGGACTGGTTGTGTGTGTGTTGGGGTTGTGTTCAAATCCCCCTAGAAGACTTCATTGTGTGTAGCGGCCCTTTCCCTAAATGCAGCTGGATTAGCTGCAGCCCCAGCAGGACTCAGAAATAGGCGCACAGTAAATCTGCCTGAAAGCTAGCTCTCTGGTATCTTTCTGGAGGCTTCCACTTGTCTTCCCCGGAGCGCACACAAGTGATGGAGATTGAGAGAGCGGTTAAAAACCGCAAGGGAATTTCATTGAGAACAGAACCAGCTAGTTTTAAGGAAAGTATATAGAGAGCGCAAAGTCAGGCCTGTCCCCAAAACATCACTCCGCACGCCAGCACTCCCCCAGAAAGCCCGGGTACAAGTTGCTTCTCAATGCAAAAAGTTCAATAAATCATCCCACATATTCTTGGGTTCCAGAAAAAGAAATCAGTTTTGCCCTTTCCCTGTAAATGTAGGTCCCCCGCCTTGACTTAGTACCCCTTCTCAGTTTGCTCTCGCTCTCTCGCGCTCGCTCGCTCTCTCTCACACACACACACACACATAGACACATCTAGGCCGTGTTCAAAGCTATCTGGGGCGCACATGGATGGGGAAGGTAGACAGAGATGAGCTGCAGGGGAGACGGTTAAGAGGACTAAAAAGAGAGAAGGACAAAGAGAAGAACAAGAAACAGTGTATGCCCGATAAGCAGGAAGAGCGAAAGAGAGGAGTTCAGGAGTAGAAGCCGGGCAGCGAACCGGGCACAAACCACACCACTGAGCCCCGAGCGCCCGCCGGGCTCACCCGGCTCTCCAGCACGTCTCGCTCCGGCTCGCAGCGCCTTCCGAAGACAGAAAAGAGCGTTCGGCCGAGCTCAGGGGCCCAGAAAGTGCAGAGCGGTGGCGCGCGCGAGCAGGGTGGAGGGCACTGCAGGCCCAGCGGAGCCCCGGGGCGTCCGGACACTAGCGCCGCGACCCGCCCCCACTCCGACCCCACGCACCTCGGGCAGAGCAGGACTCACCTCGTTTACTGCGTCTCCATCGATTGCCTTGGCAGTGGCTGTAATCCATACAGTTCAGGATGATGAGGGCAAAGGAGAAGAGGCGAAACTGCATCTGGGCGGTCGGGCGGGGGAGAGGCGCCTCTCAAAGTCGGGGAACCGGATAGCTCCTGCGAGGAGCCGGCGCCCACCGCGCTGCCAGGAGAGACGCCGAGGGCGAGTGGCCACTAGCCCGGGGGGGGTTGGGGGGGGCCTCCCGCACTGATCAGTTCGGAGCGGCCAGCATCTCTCAAACCTTGAACCTGAGAGACGAGGAGGAAAAACAGAGTGGAGAGAGCCCCGAGGAGACAGCCTCTTCGCGCGTCCCAATTTAAGAGGAGGGAGCGGGGCGTGAACCCACCGCTTGGCACGAGCCGCGGGGCAGTTTAACCCCGAGCCCACAGCTGCGGGCGACTTGGAGAGAAAGGTGATTTACTATCAGTGAATTAGCAACCCCTGCCGAACTACAGGCTCGGACCCGGGGGAAAGGGCGTTGGGCGGCCAGTCCAGGGAAAGGAAAGGGCTCCAAAGGCACCAAGGGCGCAGGGTTCAAGGAGCGCCCCTAGGCCCTCAGGTCCCACGGCGGGGTTACCCAGCGCCGTGGCCGCAGTGGCCGGACGTGGGTCGCCTACCGTGGCACTTACGTCTCGGACCGTGCGGCAAGCCTAGGCGCGGCGCTCCATCCCCGGCAGGGGAAGCGAGGCGCCTCGCTAGCACGTGGGCCGGGGAAAAGTTTGCCGAGAGGTGCCGGGAGCGCCCGGCAGGTCCGGGATTCCGGCGGCCACCGCGGGTCCGCAGTGCTCTCACGGTCCTCTGGGCCGGCGGCGCCTAAGCAGGAGCGCAGCGGGAAGGCGCGTCTGCAGCCTCGGGGATGCTGCGTCCCCGCCGGTGAGTGCGGTCCTCTGGCGACCGGCACCACCGGCTCTCACTCTCTAGGTCCCTGTCCAACTGTGCGGTTTCCGGGCTCTACTCCACAGCCACTTCACAGCTAGGATTTCTCCCTTTCCAAGCTATGGCAGACAGAACGCTCCCGCGAGGCCGCAGGGATGTGGCGAGCGCACTTTCCGACGGAGATGCAGCCCGGCGGAGGCGAGGCTCGGGATGCTTCTATAAGTAGGTGGTGCTGTGGTCCAAGGCATCAGTGTCAGGCTGCCTCGGAGTTCCTGGGTCCTAAAGCCAGAAACTCTCCGGTTTCCCTGAGGTCCTAAAGAGCGCTGACAGCTTCCAGCGAGCCCAACCCCAGGCAAATTCCCTCCGGGCTTTCCTGGAGTGCACTGCTAAACCAAAAGGAAGCTGGGGGTGGGGGTGCCCCTGGACCGCACTGGCAGGGGGATTCCCGCCGACTTCACCCGCAAGGCGTCTATTTCGGGCGCTTCCCCGGTGGGTTCCAACCCTTGCCCTGACCTCCGGGCCAGGAGGATCTGACTGACCGGTCCTAGCCCACCCTTCCTGAGCTCCCTGCCAGGACTGCGGCTTCTGGCGGACTGAGTTTGAACTTGAGCTACATCCCGAAAGATACATCTCAGCCACTTGTTAATTTACGTCTCGGCTTTGTTATACAGAAGATGTTATCAAGGCTGAAATTAAAATGCGCCCTCCGTGTAGGGAGTGAGCGAGGTTTTCCAATAGCTCTTGCATGTCCTCACAAGGGTTGTTTCTTGACTTTGTTTCTTCTCTGGAAAAAAAAAAAAAATTGCAAAAACTTGTGGTCCCTTGCTTGCAGGATTCAAGAAATTGGGACCTTGCTTCTTTAAAGAAAAGTTCACTTTCCACTGAAGTATTTCTCAGTCATAATCCTTCCCTCTCCCTCCTCCCTCAAAGACTCCTGACCTAAACTTCTGGGTGCCTGGGTTTGGGGACTACTGTTTAACGAAGGGTTACATGACATACACTTGATGCTACCTGATTTTTTTTTTTTTTTTGATGGTACCTAATTTCTTTCTGTTGAAATCTTCTGTCCTGCCCTCACTGCTGTAGGAATGAATGTATTTACTCCTTAGGCAAAAGATTTTTTTTTTTTTTACTGCCAACCATGACAGTATGAATGTTTGTAGATATGACCATATGCTACCATATCATATGGCTTAAATTTCCTTTTCTATGTTTTCAGTTTCAGATGTTCAGAAATTTAGAAACTTGACACAATCGTGTTGAAACAATATGACTATTAGAATAGTGTTTATGAACTGTTCCATTATTGTCTACCCATAACTATTTTTACAGACATCACTATTACATAACAATATTTATGTGCTAAGAACTTCAGTGTTATTTCCTTTATGCATGCTTGAGAACATCCAAGATAAATCTGAGTTGAGGTCACTGGTCCCATTTCGTAGATAAGAAAATTCAGCCCCTGAGACTGGCCCACAGGGCACAAATAGAGTTGACAAAACAGACTGCAGGAACAGTGGATCTGTTTCCCAGTTTTCAGAGTCTTTGATTTTTATCACGGAATTGGAAGCAACTGGAAATTTTCAGCTTAGGGAGTGGCCTAGCATTTAGCATGATGGCTGGATATTACAGTAGATATCCCTCCATCATCTTAAATATATATGTAAATACACCACTCACATAACGCACACACCAAATTTATTGCACTTCTAAAGAAGTCAAGTCCATGGTAGCATAAAGACTTCTCTAAATAAGCCCTCGGCCTTTCTATACAGCGCTGAGACCCCTTCAAGATCAGTGGTTGTCAGTGTCTTTTGGAATATTTATTTATTTATTTTAAAATATATAAGGGCAAAACGAGCACAAGATCAAGTAGATCTAGCGCTACCATTAACCCCCTTGATCACTTTTGGTAATTTTCCGAATCTCGGTTTCCTTGGCAGTATTCTTAGAAAATTGGAACAAGATCTCTTCTAGCCTTGCCATGCTCTGGTTCACAATCAGTTTTCTATTTCTATCAAGAAGTTTCTGTTTCAGTGGGGTCTAACTAGTGTGAGGACAAACTCATTGATAGAGTTTCAGTGTAGAAAGATGTCAATCATAGTTAAATTACAGACCACTTTCAACCTTCTGTCTTCAAAGATTACTTTCCATAATTTCAATCATTTAGGTTACACAGCTGGAATTTTTTTTAAGCCAGAGAGCCTTTTCAGTTTAGTGAACTCCTAGATTAATTTCCTGTTAAAAAAAAGAAGAAGAAGAATTTTAACAGTGTAACTTCTGTTGAAGATTGGTTGGTGCTCTTAAAATGAGAATAGGCTCTGAGAGAAAGAAGAGTCTTAATTCCTTTGTCCTTGTGCTTGCTCCTGGTCTGTCTCTGCTTTTTAGAGGATACCACTGAACCTCAAAAATCTGTCACACTTAGTTCTTGGGGTACTGAGAGACTCACTCTTAATCTCTTATGGGCTACTTTGTTGATAATGCAGACTTTTTTTTTTTTTTTGCCAGTCACTGAATATTTTTCCTGATTTCAAGAACCCAGGAATGTTCTTGCTACTAAGAAATACAACCCAAGCAGATCCTAAACTATCATTAACTTTAATCCCATATTTCTGCTTCCTTTCATTTCTAAACTCTGAATGTGTTGTTGTTGAACCTCACAGCTCACAGTTTCTCTATCTTGGAGACTCAGTGGGCTTTTTTTCTTCAAACTGAGTTTAGATGGTGGTTTCATTAAAGTAGCTTTATAAATAGAGATGTGCCTGGTGTCTGTTTACAGAGAAACATACTGGTGAGATTGACTTCATACCACTCATTGGCTATAGAGAAGGTCAAGTGAGGGCAGTTGAGGAATGATGTTATAGATGGAAGGCAACTTGTGTACTTTACTTTCCTGACTTGTAACTCAATGATACAGCTAAAATTCAATCCTTAACAAAGAAGATACAGGGAAAAGGCTCTTCCCCAGCCAGTCAATTCTCCTCTGAGACAACCAGTTATTTGGGTATAACCTTCCAGGTTTTGAATGTACTTCCAGAAATATGTTGTGCTTATGAAGAAAATGTGTGTGTGAATATGTGTGTGTGTGTGTGTGTGTGTGTATTCTCCCCACTTTTATGCAACTAGTGGAATCTAATCTGCATCTTGATTTTGTTTTCATGCATCTTAAAGTTCATTTGGTATCAGCTCATAAAAAACTTTGCTGTTCTTTTTATATAATCGTATATCATTTCACTGCATGGTTGTTTTCAGGCAGCTCCCTACCAAAAACATTTAGGTTGTCTTCATCTTTTCCTGTTATAAGCAATGCTTCAGTTAACCTTTTCATGGCTCATTTTACTTTTGTGTTATAGATTCCTAAAAGTAGCAAAGTTGGATCAAACAGTTGGATATGCATGTGTGTGCATTCTTAAAACTTGCCTCCCACATAAGTTCGTCAAACCTCAGCATAAAAGAGTGCCCATCTCCGTAAATACTGGCCAACATGTTCTCATTCTTGATACTCCTAGGCAAACAGTGATACCTCAACAGTTTCAGTTTTTTATTTCTTTTAAATAAGATTATGTGCTTTTAATATGCTCAAGCTCTTTCCTTTTCCATGAACTCTCCAAAGGTATTATTTACCTTTTTCTCTATGTTGTTGGTCATTTACTATTGTTTTATATTGTTTTATGGAATATATATATATATACATACAGAATATGTATATATGTACATAGGTGCACACACACACATAGTATTTTGATTTTTTTGCAAATATTTTGTTAACTTCATGATTTTTCTTTGTTTTTAATGTATATAATTACTGTGCTGCAAATTTTAAAATATTTTTATCTAGTTAAATTTGTCACTGTTGTCTTGTATAGACATGTTTGTGTCATACTTGTAAAATCTCTTACCCGTGCCATTTTTCTTAAATTTTCATTTGGGAATTTTCTAATACATTTTTTGATGTTAAAAACCATAAGATATTAGCGATTTTATGACTGCATGATATGACTACACTATAATGGATTTAAATTTTTCTGAACCTTTCTTAACTATTTATATTCACAGATTTGGTAGACTTTGGCCCCAACTCTCATTTTCATTAGCTAATGGCTTTAGAGTTCTCTTATCTTTTATGCTATGAGATGTTCATATTCTCAGATTTAAAGTTTCCCACTATTTTGTTACTCACTGTTGAAATTTGTTGATGTTGTTCCTGCCCTTCCAGTCTAGAATTTATCCATTACCTCAAAACAAATTATGGCGTTTTTGCCATTGCATCAATATGGATAGTATTTTTTTTCTATTACATATA